GAGTGCAGCCAAATCTTGAAAAAATAATCATGATAAAAGAAAAAAGAAAAAAAATCTCCCCCCCTCCTTAAATCCTTTAAAACAGCAAAAATTCAAAATACGGCAATAGAAACAACCTTTACAATTCATTATATATGTTGCCTATTAATTTTATGCGCAAACATGCTCAACAATGATTTTTTGCTAATACAAAGAAAATATAAAATCACTGCATAGACTTGGCTAGCTCCATTACAGATGTGATAGGCACATGCAGGATTTGCTTGTAACTTATAAACACAAAACAAATTCTGATGGAAATTGAAAGTATTTGTAGGAGAATGCATTACAAGCTTTGTGAACACTGGAGGCCACACACTTACTATTGCCTGACAGAAATAAGTATTAATACTTACCTACAAGATGATCCAACATGTAACTAAGCAATTTCTGAGTTCCATTTGGGGAGTTGTATAGATTCATTATTTCTTGTGACAAGGGATTGCCTTTTAAACCTAAATAAATAAACAGAAACTAGAAATGTTTGTGCAAAACTGATTTAGCCATAGCCACTGTTAATGAAAGCATTAACAAAAAAAATGTCATTAGAATAGTTTTTTAACTAAATTTTCAACTGGATATATTTGGATGGAAAAAAACTAATGAAATTAAATATTTTACTTGCAGAATGGGTCAAAAATATGGCAAAATGGATTTTTAAAAAAAGTATGTAACAGATTGTTAGATAAAGAATGTTGTAATAAGCATAAGAAATTTACAATCCAATGGGACATATGCTCTTCAGGTCTGATAGGTACCAATAAATATTCTGAGAGTTTCCATTTATTTTTCAAAGTTCTGTTTTCTGGATCACATTGAAATTGGCTATAAAAGATTGTCATACTGTCATATACAACAGCAGTTCTATTGTTATATATATAATCTTATATGACTTTCCATTTTATATGCAATTTATGAAAAGAAACTAAGAATTTCTTATTTCAAAGAGTCTCTGGTTAACTAAACCAAAAAAAATTGAGACAAAATTTCATACCTAGTAAACCACATATGAAACCGAGACAAACTTAATATACTTTTTATTACTTCGTCATTTATCTTAGCATTTATAGTATAAAATGTTCTTATCCATGTCAAACTTCTGATTTCTAAGTGATGTCTCTGTGTAATCTGTGAGGATGTCATGTCATTTCATTACCTAAACCTGATGTCATAAAAAGCCATATTTCCCCGATACATGGGTTTATATGTTTTGATTCTGTCAAACATTGAGAGCACATACCTATGGCTATCAAATGTTTTAAAGCAATCAATGAAAATTAATTTGAAAGGACATGTACAATTTGATGATTATTCCAATAATCAATGGAAGTATTACTTTGAGCAGTGACATGGACACTTCAGACTTTCAACATGCAATTCCTTACCTAATGTCTGAAGATTGAAAAGTTTTCCAAGTTCATAAGGAAGAACTCTCAAACAATTGTGATTGAGTAGTAGTTCTCGCAAATGAGCAAGGTCGCCAAGCTCAGAGGGCAAGCTTCGAAGCTTATTGGACGAAAGGTCAAGATAGGTGAGCTGCGTTAGTTTGTTTATATCGGGAGGGATTCTGGACAAGTTGTTGGCGTTGAGATATAGAGATGTTAAATGCTGCAAGTTCCATAAGTCAGGTGCCAAATTTCTTACAGCACCTGAAAAAGAAGGCATTCACCCTGTAATCCATGTACACTTCAAGTCCCTGTAATATATGTATAGACAAATAGATATGTTTATTTCGTCCATAAAATTACATAGATTATATATATATATACATACATATATAGTGTTTCATATTGAATTTCAGAAGAATGATTACTGTCATATGCAATAACAGTAATTTGAGGTGTTACTTCCCTTTCTTTAACACTATTACAAGTACTTACAAAAAGGAAATATATGCTTCCTTGTATATTCTAGATAGCAGATGCAACAAGAAAGATATTTAACTCAATTTATGCAAGTTAACAACAGTCATGACATTTAAATCGAGACAGAAAAAAAAGAATCTTCCTTGAACAAAGCCTGATTGTACATGTAATTTTATAGGATGGAACCTGTAACAAACTGTGTTGTCAATAAAAGCCAGTTGCCAGTAAAAGTAGCCTAACTCTGAACCAGTTTTATTTGTGAAAATTATGTCAAATGATACTTTAACAAATTGTTATTTAGCTATTTAGTTAGCTATGTTTTAATGGCCAACCACTTGTTTCAAATTTAATTGAGAACACTGCTGTGAGTCATCTTACCTACTGATCAATCCACCACATACCTGTTATTTCCAACTCATACCATGACGACTTTTTGCCTGCTGCTAGGTCTTCAGCTGACATAAAGGTGTGAGCACGTCTGGGATTAGGTGAAGCATATTTCTCATACTTGTTATCTTTCGGCATGATGAAAAGTTCTGTTAAAGGAAGAAAGGGTAAAATAAAGTTCACTATCACATTTTAAGTAAATATTGTGAACTATATATCCATGTATGTTGAGCACCGTTCCAGTTTATCAGGTGCTGATCCTTATTCTTGATTCTGGTTATCAGCATGTATGTGGCAAACCTATTTACGCTTTCAAATCTGTAATACTCCATATCTGATAAACAGAAAATGCATTTAACTATATCTACAATACATTAAGTATTTAATTGTTAAAGTGTTAAAATATCTCTCCTCTCCAGTCCCTCTACTGCCCATTTTAATGACCAAAAACAACTTAACTTAAATATCTCGCTTCTCCAAGTTAAGGTATGCCTCTTAAAAATGAAACTTAATACTTCTGTACAGTCCATGAAAATTCTGACACATTTCTCTGGAGTTGATGGTGATATATAATAATCAGTGGTCTTTTATTGGTTAACCTTATACATTGTTAAAGCTTTACATTTTAAACAAGAGAACCATTTTTGTATCACTGTATACACTGTAACCATTTTAGAATTATTGAATGCACTGTAACCATTTTAATATCATTGTATAATGTAACCATTTTTGTATTGCAGGAGTTTGTTACCTACATGATACCTACTTTCATTTTACTATAACGAGATTGATGTTAATCCAAAATTATATTGTAGGCTTAGCCTGAAGTGTGACAGTACTCTCATAGACTTAGCTCGTTGTCCTGTTCTGTTCATTATATAATACGTGTATATAAAATAAACGATTCAGATATAAATTATATTATAACCTTAGACAATGAGTAACCAATCCCTGCTACATTAGGACAATAATTTTGACTGTTCCTCATGTACCAATGATACAAATATAAATCATTATTCAACACAATTGGCATCCATATATAAATATACATCAAACATATTGTGATCAGGTATTTATATAACTTTTACTCTACAGAATTGACACCAGAATGGTGAGTTACATATTATACACCAACAGATCTCAGTGCAAAAGGCAATGACCAGAGGTCATAAATCAAGGTTTGATGGCTAGAATATCAATACTCCAGCATCAATCTCTTTGTAAAATGGACATCGTCACATTTGGTTTAGTCCACATTTAAAAATCTAGTAACTATAATTTGATATTGAGTTATTTTGGCTATTGAGTTGAAACTGAACATTTCTTAATCTAGTTTGTTGTCAGTACTTTTAACATTATATAATCAATTATTTGGGCAAATTTCTTTTAATTGCAAATTAAATATGTTTTTTAATTTGCAGAAAGTACATGAAAGGTTGTACATTTGGTATTTTGTATCGTGTATCTAACGATATTTAGAATTTTCAGGGACATAAAATAGGTGACACTTTCACATGACACCTAGCACTATTCATCAATGACGATGAGTTATCTTGTATATATCTATGACAAATCCATATGTAATGATATTTGTGATTTTAAACCAGATAGTTTTTAATAAGAAGCATAGAAAACAGCTAGACACATATACAGAATAAGTATATACAGTAAAATATCTCTTAATCATTGTTTTGGGTATAGTGGTACATAAGGAAGCGTTACCTTCACAGAATCTTATTGTAAAAATATGAAAGAAAATTGACTATTTTTTCTCATTTCCCCATGTATAGATCAGGATCTGTGCATCGAAAATGGTTTTTATAGATGTAAAAAATATTCATGACATCACACAACATGGAAGCAACACAAATATTTTCAATTATACTCTACCGGTATAAATACTCATTTGTTTTAAATGATATTGCTTTTTGAATTATTAGATGTATAACAATTCAATAATGCTAGGTGACCCAATAAAATTACAGCTAAGCCCCAAAATGAAAGTGCCAACATGATTTATCTAAGATATGGTTGCAACATCCACTCAGCACTGTTAAATATTTTAACCCAATTATTTCATGAACAAAATAACTCGCGAAAAAAATCATGCGATGGCAACGTTTAACTTGCGATCATGTATCGCAAAAACACTCATAAATGAGCCACTTTTATATAACATACTTGCTTGTGTGGTTTTATTAGGTTATTCTTAATATACTTAACTCTTTTATCAACATTAGAGTTACTTTCTCTATGTGAGCACTGTTTTGATTCATGCAATACTTAACAGCTGATGTTTTAAGAGGCGATATAACTTCTTTAATACCAACTAGCTGTTAATACAGTGTCATTGCATCATGAAAATAAATAAAGCAAAGCATATGCAACATCTTCAGTGGAGTACCTTCATCGATAGCTTTCCGCAAACAGCTAAATAGCCCTCTTGCCTCTTTGACAGGTTTTCAAAGTCTGCCAAAAGAAAATCAACATGGCGTCCAACACCGAGTGTATATGAAACAGTTGATTTGATTGGCTATATGAAAATTTATTTTTTTCTGAATTTATTTATTACTGTTATATTTCTATATGTTATTAGAACGAACATGTTAGTTATAAAATATAGTTATTCATTTTTAAATGAAATGCATAACCAAAATGTTTTACTAATTCAGACCAACTCGTGAATTAACGTAACGCACCATTTCCAACATGGCGGCGCCTATGCGTAAACATGGGGCAGGTACTTGTCAAAACAAAAAAACATTGATTATGCCTATACCACGCATCTTATCATAAATCTCACTATGATATGTTGCAAGTGTCGTTGATTGAATGATACTTGTAAAAAATGTCATGCAGCTTTGCCCCAATTAACTGATTACACAAGTTAAATTCTACATATTTCTTAAGTAAATTTCAAGGACTCCTTTGCATGAAAATGTATTAAATTTGTTAGTAGAATCTTGACGAATAAAGAAGTCGTCCGTAAAAATTTTCGATGACAACAGGCGTCATTGGTTACGCTTGAATTCATAAACTGGCTGAATACTTATGAAAATTCGGTTGCAGAGTAAGGTCATTTTTATCAGATCGGAATGGAGGGGGGAGGGGTGTAGTTTTTGCTTATGAGTTATCAATAAGATACTAAAATTAAAATTCAGGATCATTTCAAATAGAAACATAAAGTTCTTTTAACAAATTGCAACCGGAAAGGGTGTCATCCTTTTACCATGACACGGTCAATAAGACACTACATTTGCATAAGGAATATTAATTTCTGTTGTCTAGCTTTGTGCTAAAATGACAATTTATATCATTGACTTTTTTCTCCATTGACTACAGTGTATAGCTATTGAGGACATTTAGTGCAAGTATCATATGTGAGCGTGAATTTACCTATTTAAGCCATATTATAAGCATTGGAGGTGGATGAGATTGTTAAAAAAAGGAAGACAAATGAGTTACACCTTTTTTTGTTCAAAAGGTTAACATTGCATTTGTTATTGGACCATGTCAATAATACAACATCTTTTTTTGTTGTTGAAATGTTTAAAAGAACATTTTGTGTTTCTATGTCACATGTCCCTGCATTTGAATAACATATTGATTATTCATAGCAGTAACTACCCTTCAAATGCAGGACTATTGCCTGTATGTGGAGTGGTGCCAAACCTGTAACAGAGGATATTTATTCTATAAACTCTATCACATTGGTGTAAGAGAAGTCATGAAATGTGTTTAAAAAAAAAAAACCAAACGGAAAGTGGCATGTTGAAAATAAGACTTAAAACATGTACACGTTAATAAACCACATTTGCAAACAAAAATATTGATATATGGTCTAATATGTCTGTGTTTGTATGACATATTGTGTGTCGCCTGAAGATAGTCAATACACAGCTTCAAAAAAGTTTGCAAAAATTATCTGCCATTATTTGTCTTTTTGATTCTTTTATGTTTACATATTTACATAATGGGCTTAATTTTACAATGTGTTTGTATATGTACTGTTTAGTAATATTTGCAATGGATTTGATTTTGCTATATTTATGGTCATTAAAGATAGTGTGAAATGAAATAAGCGACAAATATTTAACATCAATAAAAGTATAAGGAAATCTGTGTTATATGACTGTATATATGTATACCTATGAATAGACATAATGCAAACTTTTATGAGTATTAGTTTCAAGCAATTAAACAATTATACAGTATCCTGTTTGATGTTATTTCAAGCATATGATGTATAAATAACTAATGTAGACTTGTGACAGATATTATTTGTATGTTGCAGTGTTACGCAGACTGTATGTAGCACTAACTCAGGCCTTGAGCCTGGAAAGCCGGGCAACCACAGGGGTCTTTCACTGCCAAATAAGAAATGCTAGCACCAAAAAAAAGGACAAAGAGAAGACCAAGAAAGCCAAGAAAAGGTATCTCTTTATTACAGTATAAATGTAGTTATCTTAGCTTATGACAGAACCTTTTTAGACATGATGGCTTCATATTGATTGTCTGCACATTAAGAACAAGTATTTCTTATCAAAATTCTAATAGTAAGGGTTGTTAGCTATGTTAGAGTTGGATGTGGTCAATAACTCCCTATACTTCAATAAGATGTTTTTTTTTTCTACCAAATGTCAAAATGTCTGCCCCAACTTGGCCAGATGTTCTCAAATCCTTTTTACAAGAATCAAACCAAATCAAATATAAATAAACAGACAAGAAAAATCTCTAGTAAGAGAAATTTCCGAAGAACCAATATCCTGCTAATTTCATAAGTATGTAGTTTCATCTTCTAGGCTTCAGGAGGATATCTAGTGGTATACTGAGGTCTCTGAAAAGTAGTAAATAGTTCAAAAATAAGAGAAGGGCATCAACTTCTGAAGCCAGGTATGTCAATACTGTAATCTGCTGTCTTCTGCTGGTTGTCAACAGTAGAATACAGAATTGGCATACTAAGCTTCAGGAGTTGGTGCTTAATCAAATGTAGTTAATGCTTGTGTCAATCAGAAAAGGAAAACAAATGGATGACAGTATTGATCTCTAATTAATGGAGATATAAAGTATTTTACATTGTCATTATGATTAGATACAAAGAGACATTGAGAGGGTTATTGAAAATCAAATTTGAATTGTAAAATGTTGTAAAAGTCACCAAGCTGTTGTAATTTGGATGAGGATATCAAATATGCAGAAATTACATATGTATCATTAGGTTATAGACTTTTTTTCAATATTTATATCATCTTTTGAATCCGAAGTTATTGGTTAGTTTAAGTGTAACTCGTTTATACTTCACAGAATTTTCACAGCTCCTGAGATGGAGTATATTACCAGTCCATTGCTGAGCACACACCTTGGAAAGGTGCCCACTGATAATGTATGGTTCATGTCCGATTACCCAGAACCCTATTTCACATTAGAGGAAGCTCTTCAGAGACATCAACTGATGGCACAACCCAGCATTTATAACTATTCAGATAGCTACGTGTACGCTAACGTTGCTCTCAACAGCTGGACAAAACGAGAGGTATTAATTCGTTCTTCTGTGATACATTATAGATCATTATACAAATAGCTATAACACAAATAGGTATGTGTCCCTATATATTTCTCAGGATGGAATCGCTCCGTCCATATTTCTGGTATTCATCATTTTTAATGACATATTTAAAATAATATATATTTATCCAAAGCATAACACAAAAAAACTATAAGATTTATCAACATAAAACTTCTTAGGTAGATAGATCTTAACAAAAAGAGATGTAGTACACTTTAAATGCTGATAACCAGAATTCTGTAGTGGTAACTAAGTTCTATGATAACCAGAATTCTGTAGTGGTAACTAAGTTCTATGATAACCAGAATTCTGTAGTGGTAACTAAGTTCTATGATAACCAGAATTCTGTAGTGGTAACTAAGTTCTATGATAACCAGAATTCTGTAGTGGTAACTAAGTTCTATGATAACCAGAATTCTGTAGTGGTAACTAAGTTCTATGATAACCAGAATTCTGTAGTGGTAACTAAGTTCTATGATAACCAGAATTCTGTAGTGGTAACTAAGTTCTATGATAACCAGAATTCTGTAGTGGTAACTAAGTTCTCTGATAACCAGAATTATGTAGTGGTAACTAAGTTCTATGATAACCAGAATTCTGTAGTGGTAACTAAGTTCTATGATAACCAGAATTCTGTAGTGGTAACTAAGTTCTATGATAACCAGAATTCTGTAGTGGTAACTAAGTTCTATGATAACCAGAATTCTGTAGTGGTAACTAAGTTCTATGATAACCAGAATTCTGTAGTGGTAACTAAGTTCTATGATAACCAGAATTCTATAGTGGTAACTAAGTTCTATGATAACCAGAATTCTGTAGTGGTAACTAAGTTCTATGATAACCAGAATTTTGTAGTGGTAACTAAGTTCTATGATAACCAGAATTCTGTAGTGGTTTCCATTTCCTGTTAGATTTATGAAAGTCATTATTTTCATTTTACCTTGCCAGAATATTAAATCAGTAAAATAAAAAATTTTTATTTCTCATGTCATAAATCTTGTATGAGTAAAATGTCTCGTAAAATTCTCTATATCTGTAGCATATTGTTTTACAGGGGTTCTTTATATCAATGTATAAGTCAGCAATGGTCCCTCATCCTTTTGATCCACCTGTGAAAGTAAGATGTGCTGTTTTGACAAAGGTTTGTATCATAACTGATAGAGTATGCAGGAAATTACACTCTCAGAAAGTATACAGCAAATTACACTCTCATAGAGTATGCAACAAATTAAACTCACAAATTTTATAGTGAAATACACTCTCACAAAGCAGAGCATGTTATTCTCTTAGAAAACATACAGCAAATACCACTCTCACAAAATATATGTAAATTTTACTCTCACAAAATGTATGTAAATTTTACTCTCAATAAGTAAACAGAAAATTTCACTTTCAGAAAATACACAATGCAGTTACACCATTACAATGTATACAGCAGATTACACTCACAAGGTCTAAATTTATTACAAACCACACTTTCACATAGTACATAGCAAATTATGCTCTCAAAAAATACTCAGAAAAGTTATACTCTCACAAAATGGTCATCTGCTTTATTGCACATAAGTTCAGCTGGAACTGCACAGGAGTTTGTATAATTTGCGTTGCCTTGTCTATTTTTGGATGATTTTCAACATTTACTTTAAAAAATATATATTTTTACCCAAATCACTATGGATGAGATGCGATAGGCCTCCCAGATTATGTTCATTGCGGTAACCACCAACTACTTCAAAGAGACCACTCCTCAAATTGACCCTGGCTGTTGATGGGCAATAAACCCAGCAAAAACCAAATAACTCTTTTATGATATAATATCTGTTGATTTGATAAAAGTCATTTTAACACGATGCTATGATATAATATCTGTTGATTTGATAAAAGTCGTTTTAACACGATGCTATGATATAATATCTGTTGATTTGATAAAAGTCATTTTAACACGATGCTGACTTGGTCAGCAACTTAAGAAGTGCATGATCATTTTGCTTGTAACACCTCTATATCTCAAATTTCTCTGGTATTTTGAACATGATTTATTCTTAGTTATTCTGAAGATTTGGTGATAGTTTATTTCCAGCTCTGTCAACGAGAGAGCAGAAATCTAATAGTGGAAGTTATATAACTCTAAGGTGTTTTTTCTCTTGTCTTCAATTTACATTGAGGTATAAGCTTGTACAGTTTTAATTGCTTGTACATGTATATCTACTCCATTTTAGTACAATTAAAAGTTTTCTGTGTTTTGCAGCAAAAGGATAATGTAGTGAAGGCTTTTTGGAGCTAAATATTCAACATTTACTTTAGCCCAAAAATATATATTATTACCCAAATCACTACTTAGGATGAGAACACAGGCCTCCCAGATGATATATTGCGGTAACCACCAACTACTAGAAAGAGACCACTCCTCAAATATATGGCTGTTGATGGGCAATAAACCCAGCAAAAACCAAATAACTCTTTTATGATATAATATCTGTTGATTTGATAAAAGTCATTTTAACACGATGCTATGATATAATATCTGTTGATTTGATAAAAGTCATTTTAACACGATGCTGACTTGGTCAGCAACTTAAGAAGTGCATGATCATTTTGCTTGTAACACCTCTATATCTCAAATTTCTCTAGTATTTTGAACATGATTTATTCTTAGTTATTCTGAAGATTTGGTGATAGTTTATTTCCAGCTCTGTCACGAGAGAGCAGACAATCTAATAGCCCAGGTAAATATATATATAACCCAAGGTGGCTCTCCAGCCCTTCAATTTACATTAGTATAAGTTTGCCCAGTTTTAAATATATATGTTATAACCCATTTTAGTACTCTAAAAGCCCTGTGTGCAGCAAAAGGATAATGTAGTGAAGGCTTTACAGTCTGGAGCTAAATATGCAGGAGGAACAGACCTTCTAGCCCAGGTAAATATATATGTTATAACCCAATAGGCTCTCCAGCCCTGTCTTAGGTTTACCTAGAACACAGATCTTCAAGCCCAGGTAAATATATATGTTATAACCCAATAGGCTCTCCAGCCCTGTCACAGGTGTACCTAGAACACAGACCTTCTAGCCCAGGTAAATATATATGTTATAACCCAATAGGCTCTCCAGCCCTGTCACAGGTGTACCTAGAACACAGACCTTCTAGCCCAGGTAAATATATATGTTATAACCCAATAGACTCTCCAGCCCTGTCACAGGTGTACCTAGAACACAGACCTTCTAGCCCAGGTAAATATATATGTTATAACCCAATAGGCTCTCCAGCCCTGTCACAGGTGTACCTAGAACACAGACCTTCTAGCCCAGGTAAATATATATGTTATAACCCAATAGGCTCTCCAGCCCTGTCACAGGTGTACCTAGAACACAGACCTTCTAGCCCAGGTAAATATATATGTTATAACCCAATAGACTCTCCAGCCCTGTCACAGGTGTACCTAGAACACAGACCTTCTAGCCCAGGTAAATATATATGTTATAACCCAATAGGCTCTCCAGCCCTGTCACAGGTGTACCTAGAACACAGACCTTCTAGCCCAGGTAAATATATATGTTATAACCCAATAGGCTCTCCAGCCCTGTCACAGGTGTACCTAGAACACAGACCTTCTAGCCCAGGTAAATATATATGTTATAACCCAATAGGCTCTCCAGCCCTGTCACAGGTGTACCTAGAACACAGACCTTCTAGCCCAGGTAAATATATATGTTATAACCCAATAGGCTCTCCAGCCCTGTCACAGGTGTACCTAGAACACAGACCTTCTAGCCCAGGTAAATATATATGTTATAACCCAATAGGCTCTCCAGCCCTGTCACAGGTGTACCTAGAACACAGACCTTCTAGCCCAGGTAAATATATATGTTATAACCCAATAGACTCTCCAGCCCTGTCACAGGTGTACCTAGAACACAGACCTTCTAGCCCAGGTAAATATATATGTTATAACCCAATAGACTCTCCAGCCCTGTCACAGGTGTACCTAGAACACAGACCTTCTAGCCCAGGTAAATATATATGTTATAACCCAATAGGCTCTCCAGCCCTGTCACAGGTGTACCTAGAACACAGACCTTCTAGCCCAGGTAAATATATATGTTATAACCCAATAGTCCTCTCCTAGAACCCTGTCAGCCCAGGTAAATATATATGTTATAACCTGATAGGAACACAGAACCCAGACCTTCTAGCCCAGGTAAATATATATGTTATAACCTGATAGGATGTCCTTACATGTACCTAGAACCAATACCTTCTAGCCCAGATAGATATATATGTTATAACCTGATAGGATGTCCTTACATGTACCTAGAACCCAGACCTTCTAGCCCAGATAGATATATATGTTATAACCTGATAGGATGTCCTTACATGTACCTAGAACACAGATCTTCTATCCCAGGTAAATATATATGTTATAACCTGATAGGATGTCCTTACATGTACCTAGAACCCAGACCTTTTAGCTTAGATAAATATATTTTCTTATTTTTGAGGTATCTCTGTTTTACAGATTGATATATTTGAAGAGTTGCTGTTAATCTGTACAAAGAGTATCCCAGATTTCTTTTGCCCTGGTATAAAAAATGTTCATTTTCACCCTAAAATACACGAACAAATATTTCAATTTGACATCAAACTTAAATCCAATTTATATTCTCATTCTAAAACTGTTTTTGTTTTCAGTAGATGTTATTACAATGTTACTACTGTAGATACATAATGTTAAATTGTTCTAGCAGGTCAAAGTATATCTGGGCATCAGTTCTGATGGTTAATTAGATAAGTTTTCATCTTTGTTTTTTAGATGCAGACAGATCAAGTATCAATTTATGAGTTGGATCATGTGATAGCAACTCCGGACATGATGAAGCAATTAAAATCTTTGCGCCCTCTATTCGGAGATTTATTTCCAAATGAAAAAAAAGGTATGAAGCAAGTTTAAAATAAAGCTGTTTGTTGCTCAATTATAATATACATGTAAATAAACTTTCACAGTTTTATTAATTCTTTATTTTGAAGTATCTTTGTTTTACAGTTTCACTAGCTCTTATTATTGAGGTTATTTTACAGTTTAAGCAGTTCTTATTTTTGTGTTTTCTCTGTTTTACAGTTTTGTTAAATTTTTTTTGAGGTATCGCTGTTTTCCTGCTTTAGTAATTCCTATTTTTGAGGTATCTCTGTTTCACTGTTTTAGTAATTTTTATCACAGCACTGTGATTGACTTATGTGTTAACATATTATGTATTGTACACTTAATGGAACACAGCTATTATTTTCTACCTTAGATTGACACTTTAAATTCCATACAAATATTTTTCTTCATTTTTCATAGCACTTTTATAATTTGTTTCATTACGTAGCTCATTACGAATTCAGATCTGAATTGGTAGGGTCTGGATTATTATGGCCAATTGTTGTTATAGGTGAGAGTTCAATATATGGCGAGTTCTTCATCATAAAGGGACTGTGATAGCTCAGTTGGTCAGAGCATTGGTGAGATTTCAATATATGGCGAGTTCTTCATCATAAAGGGACTGTGATAGCTCAGTTGGTCAGAGCATTGGTGAGATTTCAATATATGGCGAGTTCTTCATCATAAAGGGACTGTGATAGCTCAGTTGGTGAGAGCATTGGTGAGAGTTCAATATATGGCGAGTTCTTTATTATAAAGGGACTGTGATAGCTCAGTTGGTGAGAGCATTGGTGAGAGTTCAATATATGGCAAGTTCTTTATTATGAAGGGACTGTGATAGCTCAGTTGGTGAGAGCATTGGTGAGATTTCAATATATGGTGAGTTCTTTATTATAAAGGGACTGTGATAGCTCAGTTGGTGAGAGCATTGGTGAGATTTCAATATATGGCGAGTTCTTTATTATGAAGGGACTGTGATAGCTCAGTTGGTGAGAGCATTGGTGAGAGTTCAATATATGGCAAGTTCTTTATTATGAAGGGACTGTGATAGCTCAGTTGGTGAGAGCATTGGTGAGATTTCAATATATGGTGAGTTCTTTATTATAAAGGGACTGTGATAGCTCAGTTGGTGAGAGCATTGGTGAGATTTCAATATATGGCGAGTTCTTTATTATAAAGGGACTGTGATAGCTCAGTTGGTGAGAGCATTGGTGAGAGTTCAATATATGGCAAGTTCTTTATTATGAAGGGACTGTGATAGCTCAGTTGGTGAGAGCATTGGTGAGATTTCAATATATGGTGAGTTCTTTATTATAAAGGGACTGTGATAGCTCAGTTGGTGAGAGCATTGGTGAGATTTCAATATATGGCGAGTTCTTTATTATAAAGGGACTGTGATAGCTCAGTTGGTGAGAGCATTGGTGAGAGTTCAATATATGGCAAGTTCTTTATTATAAAGGGACTGTGATAGCTCAGTTGGTGAGAGCATTGGTGAGAGTTCAATATATGGCGAGTTCTTTATTATAAAGGGACTGTGATAGCTCAGTTGGTGAGAGCATTGGTGAGAGTTCAATATATGGCGAGTTCTTTATTATAAAGGGACTGTGATAGCTCAGTTGGTGAGAGCATTGGTGAGATTTCAATATATGGCGAGTTCTTTATTATAAAGGGACTGTGATAGCTCAGTTGGTGAGAGCATTGGTGGTAGGTAAACTCCGGTGAATATCTGAGGGTTTGGTTCTGTCCCTGATTACTTATGTTTCTCAGAAGGCTGAGGAAATGTCTGGTCCGTGCTTATGTGGTCATTTCCATGGGTAAGACTTCTCAGCCTTATTACTCTTGATGGCTTGTGACAGGCCTCTCGTATGTTGTTCATTGAGGAAGTCACCAGCTACAACAAGGAGACTCTGACCCTGGCTATTCATTGGAGCAATAAATCCAACAAATAAAACACTGTAAATACGAAAGACACTTGTTATAACTGATAGTTCAATATAAGGCTAATAGGTTCTTCACAATAAGCATTGGAATGAGGAAATCTTCTCATTTTTGCCAAACCTGGTAGTACATTATTAGCATTTTCAGTCATGCACTACAACCATGTTATACAGTGTATGTACTAAGTGTCACCATGTGCAATACCAATGTTGTAACATGTTCCACAATCATCTTGGTAATAAAAATTTTAAAGTTTAAATTGTCAGTTTTTTCATGAATATGAATCAGAGATGAAAAGTTCATAGTATCATAGTGTTTTCTATGTACCTTATTTGCTACAAAATTAACACCATCTACTTTTCAAAAAATTAAATGACATTAAAAAATTTCAAATTTTTTATATGTCATTGCTGAAAGGGTCATGAAACATGAAGTTATTGCCCTTGTTTGATAAATTCCATATTATATAGACTTATCATGAAGGTGAAATACTGGGTAGATATTAAGATTGTGTATTTTACAGGCACTCCATGTGTAGGCTCTCCATGAGTAGGCCTTCCATTTGCAATTTGTTTAACTTTCTCCCCTACAGGTAGTATGGGAGAAGACATTTCATCTATGTTAGAAAATTTCCTCGGTGGGATAATTATGAAATCACAGCCAACTAAGACAAAGGGACTTGCAAACATTCGATTTCCAATTGGAAAGGTAAGTTCCTAATTAAACACAATAATATCCTGTGAATTATGGCCGTAAAGTCTTATAAAGAATGATACAGGAAAATGTAATTTTTACGCAAGAATAAATTTTTTATCATCTTCAGTGTCAATATACTACCAGTATTTAAAATTTCTCTTTCTTTTAAAGAGAATAAAAAACATGTTGAACTAGTAATAGTTTTGGTTTTGAAATGAAAAATAAATTGTTTTTGAACTTCATTGTAAAAAATATAATGAGAATATGATTACTGACATGTACTTTCTTCAGTGTAAACTCCTTGAGCCTTCAGTTCTTTGTGTTAATTTGTTACATATCTATATGTACATAAATAAAACAATAGTATTAAGGTTCAGTCCTTAAATCTGAATCTTATTTGAAGTGTATGCTGACTACATGTGATCCACTAAATATGGTTTAAAATTACAAAGAGGCCCAGGATATTGATGTTGGGTATGTGGCATGCTGGAATGAATGACCTTCAAACTTCAAGGTTACAGTCAAATGTGTTAAAATCTTAAAACAATTTCTTCTTAACAACCAGGAAGCTGGGGGTAGTATTATTGGGACTGTATCATACTGGAATGAACGGCTACCAAATTTGTTCAAATGAATGACCTTGACCCACTTTCAAGATTACAAGGATCAAATGTGTTAAAAGTCTTAAAACATCTTAACTATTTATCTTCATGGCCTATCAAGGAGTTCATCATTATGGAATGTGCAAACACAATTAAATGACAAGTGAATATTGCAAGCCAATTAGGCCTTTTATTTTGCTATACATGTTATTGTTTGGAGCTATTTAAAATAAGCTACCACTAAGTACTGTTGACCTATGTAATGCAGTTTACTTGATATGATATTCGATGGATTATTTTTTCAGATAAATATGACACAAGCACAGTTAAGTGAAAATTTGGAGGCATTAAAACTGGAAGTACATAAGGCTCGCCCATCAAAGGTAACAGGTAAGTATTCTTCTATAGATCGTTAGAGTTGATCATTTTGTGATGATATCATGTACCATACAATGTACAAACTAAGCTATATTTTGAATCATGCTGTTTATTGAAATTAGTTAAAGTCTTTTTAGCTAACCATCATTACTTGATGTGCTTTTCAAGGGTCTTTTTTGTTCAAGGTCCATCCATCTTGTAAAACTTGTTGCGATAATAGACCTTCTTGAAACTTTATGGAAGTCATAATTAGCTCACCTACCCAAAGGTCAACTTAGGTTATGCCATCCATCTGGTGTTCACCTTTTCCTTTGAACAACTCCTTTTCAATAACCAAAACTTCAGGCTACTGATACTATGCCAGTATCATGCTGGCATAAAGGGCTAGACAGTTTGTTCAAATGGATAATGTTAACCAACTTTCAAGGTTAGATGTCAAATTTGTTAAAAACTTTAAATGACTTCTTCTCAAAAACCAAAAGACTATGGGTAATTATGTTGGACCTGTAGCATGCTGGATTTAAGGGCTACCAAGTTTGTTCAGATGATTGACCTTGACACACTTGCAAGGCCACAGGAGTAATTAAAATTTTGAAAACTTATTTTTAATAACCAAGAAGCCCAAGGTTATGATATTAGACCAGTTTTATGCTGATATAGGGCTACACACGTACATATGTTTAACCTTTACCACTTTCAGTGTCTCAGAGGTAAAATTTTCAGAGAAGTGAAAGCTTCCTTCTACAGTAACCAATAAATACAATTCATGAGGACTAGCACTATAGACTTTGAAATTTGCCAGAATTTAATTGATTGAACAAATAAACATGTATGTGATGCAGGCCTTTTTGGCCTCTTGCTATGATCTTGGTTATGTATCACTCATTTTGAGCTTGATAACATATGACCATTAGATTTTGAAGATTAAAAGTTTGTTACAGCTACTCCTCAAGAATTACTACGTTAGTGACTAGAAATGATCTTACCAGGTTACTGGGTATTCAAGAAATGTTGACAATAAGATCCCTCTGATATATCCTATATGTAGTCCAAAATTTACATTGTACATGTTTATCCATACCTTAGCATTTCCTCAACCCCATTTAGTTCCTTTTCATTTCTAAGAGACATTCTCTTTCATTCTCCAGGTAAGTACATTCTGCAGTTGGAGATAGAAGTGCCTCCGTCTCCATCGACATTCAAGCTGGATCCACAACTATACGACGTCAGTGAACCAATAAAGAAACAATGAGGAGAGACTATGATATTGCTCAGAACATGAGCTCTGTATTAAGTCATTGAGATGTTGCAAAATAAAGTGTTAATTATGTCCAGATTTAGTCAAGGAGTTATTTCTGTGTATCAGCCATTTTATGTAGAATATAGCTTTATCCATCTCTGGATGGAAGCGCAGAGGGGTCCTACTATTGGAGGAAGCTGGAATACCTTGCATTAAACACAGCATTTCCACTGCACCACCTGACACAGAGTGCAAAATACTAGTTGTGTCCAACATCCTTCACAATTTTGCTGGTATGATTCAGTTTTCAACTATTTATATGTGGAGGGGAAAATTCGAACACAAACTCTTGTAGGATCTGACATTAGTCATTAATATGTTTTTCTGTGTAGTTTTCCCTTTGTACATGGATTTTCTGTCTGTCTTGGTTTACAAATTTACTTTTAGTTCAACCTTACACAAACAAATGAAAATATGTACAAATTGAGAAAGCCAATGATATATAATGATGAGAAAGATTACACAAAACAAAGCATATCTCAACATATGTTTATTTTTTCATATTCATAGTTTAAAAGGTACAAAGACATACTTTGTTGTAAGGAACAGATCACAAATTTCTGTTCTTATTCTTAGTACTTCATCTGATGAATATTAACTTAAGCCAAATAATTTATCAGCAACGTATTAAGTATAAAAGAAAATGTACTCGGAGCTGAATAAATATGATGTTTGTGAGACTATTGGCATAAAATAAACATCACAGGTTATATGTAGAGTAGAAAAATGTGGAAAAAGACCGCAAGAAACATAAGGTGTAAAAAAACAATACAACAGATGTGCAACTTATAAGGGGGAACAGCACTAAAATCCTCAAGTTCATTTCAAACTGATCCAATACTCTTGTGCAATTAGAATTCTTCAGTGAGACAACATGGTAAATTGAAGGATTACATCCCACAAGAACATTGGTCTGCATGGAATGGAATGATGTAAGTTTGTTATAAATCTTGTTGAAAAAATGGCAATAGAATACTTCCATATACTGGCCTTGTGGTTTCAGTTTATTTTTTTTCCCCCTCAACATGAGTTGATGAGGAAATTCCAAATTTGTTTTTGTTTGACTTATATTCAGCATACATGCTACAATGCATGAATTCAACGCATAATACATCTTCACACCATATCTCTATGCACCACAACACTGGACCCTTGTTAAATGTCTTGAGACAATGTACTACCATGGATAAAAACAAAGGAACTTGGATATAAAGATTACAATCCCTTGGATAAGGAATTTGGCAGTTATCTGACTAAACAAGAATCAACATATAACATCCTAACTAATTCAAGCATTTTCTCACTTCAATACCCAACTTAAATACTAATATCAAGGTATATACTAGTAACAGATCAAATACCTTTTTAACAGATCATACAGTGACAACATAAGGATTATAACAGCAGTTTCTACAGATCTCAATTACAGTATATCATACAAACAAGTGATCTCTCAAACATCGTAACTTCAAATACCCAGTTTTAGGTTTTCAGAAAAAATCAGAAGTCTACAGCTACAATAGCAATTAATTCAGTTTAATATTTAATCATCAATGGCATGCTTACAAATGTGTTTTTCATGGAGAGAGAATGTAATGTCCAAATTTTCAACCAAAAAGATAAGTAAAGTGCAATATTAAAGGCAGCAAAAAAAGATGAAGTTAAATGCAGGTTAGAATTAATTCTTTTTTTAAGGAATCATGTTCATGTTAATAAACAATTTCATGAGGTAAATGTTTTCGTAAGTGAAACTTTTCATATTTTAAAGATAAATACTGTATGTTGCATCATCTACTATCGCCAATACTTAATTTCCTACAACATGTATTTCTTTTCTAAGTCCTGGTAGTGTATCACAAGATATAACAGGATGAAAAATAACACTTGTCCCAGAGTAACTCTATGTAAATGTGAGGCCAGCCTCTTCATATACTTTGAAGATTTTCTCAATGGCGGTGATAAACGCAGCTGTACGTAAATCCAGGCCGAGGTTGTACTTCATTGCTGTTCTCATTATGTTCTGTAAAAACAGATAAATATAGTGTTAGTCTATTCAACAATAAACACATCAGTACAGGCCCTACCTTAGTCAACTTGAGTCTACTTAAGTGTCATCTAGATACACAGAAATGTGAAGTCCTACTTGGGTTCTATTCTTCAGAGAGCATTATTCTAGTGTAAACAATAGAGAATGTTTTAGTAGTTATGAGAGATAGATGACAGCTGTCGCACTATCATAAACATGTCAGATGTGTATCTGATAATGAAAATAAAATCATGGATCCAATTTTTCATACCAGTGATAAACCCTGCAACACTTTTTGTTTAAATCCACACTTACAGCATACAATTCTATCCTTTAGCATAATTACATTTCATGAATTTATAAAACATGTGTAAGCTTTACCTATATTAGCTATTTCAAAGAATACACATGTAACTTTCTGAAATTTTATGTAATCTCTGATATCAATATTTTATATTTGTCATATTTATTTCCACTTTTATTTCATGCACTTATTATATGTTTCTTAATGATGCTGTAAATATCGTATATTTTATATTTGATCACAAGTGAGAAGATTCATTGACTCAATGTGTAATCGAAAAAAAACAACTATCATTATCACTATTATTTTTATAATGCAGTATATAGCAACAGCTTTAATATCAAAACTGGTTTTCACATTAGTCAGAACTGTACTCTGTGGTATATTCACTACTGGACTTACTCTTGCTGATCTCTCCATAGTGTACTCCAAGCCAGAGTGTACAATGTCTTTTTCAGAAGCACCCTGAAAAAATGAAGTCTCAATATTTTTATTGTGAATTGACATTGCCTCTGGGCATATCACAAGTTCCAGTCAGTGGCATATCATCTCATATATCTGCATGCAAGAGTTGCATCCCTTCAAATCAATTGTCAGGAAACAGCTACGTTATCAGAAACCAAAGCTGAAGTAACCAGTTACATAGCCATTAACATGAAATTGTATATAGGACAATTACACTTTCACTTAGCTATCCATTTAAGTGTACTACAAAGTAAACACATCCTGGATCTATCATGATTTACCTATGCATTTCAAAAGTTAGCACATCTGAGACCTGTCATTTTACTCATGTTTTTGTCTGAAGGTAGAAATGCTTAGAGTTGTTTTAGCAATCTGTTCAGACAACAGTTTAATACATGCTGCTAAATCTGTTATATTTTCGATATGTTTTCAACTGAAATTTTATATGTTTTCAACTGAAATTTTATATTTTCTAACAACACAGTTTATAACATTACACAGAAGGATGACATGTTCCAAATAGACGGTTCAAAGTTACATTAGTATACTATTGTCAACAATATATCATAAATTTGATTGGTAATATATTAAAATCCTTTCAACATGTAACTCATGAAATAACCAATTACAAACCACTGTGATATTTTTTAATGTTTGTTGGGAATTGGGAACTCTCAAAATAAAATAGAGTAACACAAATTCAGTTTTTACCATTCAAACTGGACAACTTACATGAATTCTCTTCTCAAATTCTTCAGAAGCATTGATAGGAATTGAACCTCCAACTTTCCCAAATTTCCTTTCCAGAGAATTCTGGACACTTTCTGTTGAAGAAAAAGGATGCCAAATGATTAAATAAAAGCGAAAATTAAAAATGTTTACCTGTAGATAAATAAATGAAGTATTTTAATTGAAACACAGATGGATCAGGCTTAGCTAGAGCCTTGCTTGACTTAGAAACAACTGGGATCACTTATGATGTCAGAATCTGTGTAAAAAGGTGTACCATAAGTATCATTTACAGACAAAAATGAGATCAACAGAACAGTTGTGTGCATAATCTGTGAGTCTTCAGCAAAACGGAGAATATATGGTGGCCATCTTGAAATAAGGATGACACCAGCTTAGTATCCACCGAGCACATTTAGTATGAACAACAATTCTACAGGAGCAGAGGTGTTGCCATTGAGAGATAATGAAAAGACTGATTCCTTCATGTATTCTTTTCAGAAGTTGCAATGTAACAGTACCAATGCAACAGAAGTTACAGCAATCTTGACTAGGGAAAATCTTGAATTATAGTGTCTCATCTAATTAATATACGATATATACCCACTATGCAACATTTTACTACAAAAAGATGAAAGATCCAACAGAAATGCTAATGCTTATACAATTTGCTTTTCAATCTGCTGTCCTATTTTTAATAAGTGACTGATAGACTACATTTTTATCTGTCATGTTTCTACATGTAACACAGTATACCCAAGTTAAATATTCTAGACTGCTGAAAATCTTTCATGATGGAGAGATGTACAAATTGAACATGCATATCATAAATTACTCTAGGTACCAATGGCTCTGATATAACATGGAAGGTGATTTTCCGTTCCAGTGTCTCTTGTAACTTTACCTAAATCAGAACAAACTTCTTACAACTGTAACTGCTAGTACAAATAAACAACCAAATTTTTTTTATTTAAAATGAGTACTTACGGAGAAGGAAGTAATTTGAATCTTTCTCATACTTGAAGGTAAGTCGTCCATAGCTGACATGGTTGAGATTTTTGAGCCACTCAAAATAGGAAACGGTCACACCTCCGGCATTGATGTATAAATCCTGTGGAGAGATAATACATTTTTAAGAATGGTCATAAAATCCCCAACCTGTAAGAAACTACATACCACACGGAGATACAAATACCTAGTCATTTAGAATGGTGACATATCATACAATCAAATCCATCACAATCCACGCCTTTTTAAAGTTTTCATTTTGAAGAAAACTAACAAGACAGGTTTGATTATTCATTCAATGTTTTGATTCACTTAAGTTTATCATTCATAGGAAGGAGTGAACAGCTTCAGTAAATGTGATTTACAAGAAAAGTAAGACACGTACCGGGATGACCAAAACATTTCTCTCCAGGAAGATCTTGTCTGCTCCCATAGTGGTGGGGCCATTGGCACCCTCAGCTATAATCTACAATAAAAACACAAATTTGTAACTTCTTGGAATTAATGTCCCACAAAGAATCTCCATTAATTCTTAGTAAGGGAGGAAATGAAACATATTTCACATATAACAAACACCTGACAAATGACCAATCTTTAATGTAAATTATTTAGAACGAGAAAAAAAATGATAATAACAAAATACTTTGATCTACAAATTATATGTAAAATTTCCAAATACACTAAAATTCTAAAAGAAAGGCTTTGGTAAATGGAATCATATATTTAATATATATAATTATCAAAATATCAATACAGTGATGTACTTATATCTGTTGATATTTCATATTTCAATTCATATGTTAACAAACACAATGAATGACAACTGCACATATAACATCATTAAGAAGTAAATGATAAATAAAAATTCTTTGTGTTTACCTTAGCCTGTATTTCATGAGCATTTTCACTGGTGAGTTGTTTCTCACTGGCAGCTGGTACCAAAATATCACACTTCTCCAACAGAAGGTTACCTTCATAAACAGAGGCTCCTGGGAAACCTATGATTGTACCATTGTCCTGTAAACAAGAGTCATGGCCCAATTAATGCAATCTTCATCATTGAATTCTCCATTTTTCTGATCACTGTGTTTTTTTTTTTTTAAATAAGTCCCATACCTCTGTAAATATTTTTTTACAGGCATTAGTGTTGAGTTTTTGGTAGTCATTAATTGACCAATGTTTTTAATGGTTCAGTAGGGTGTGACTAACAACTTGACAGGCAGGAGGAAAATGAAGTACATCCTTATGATTTACTTACAATCTTGTAGTCCTCCATGTCTCTGGGACTGATACCATCCCTGTTGTAGATGCTGCCATCTTTCTCTATGATACCAATGCACTTGGCTCCAGCTCTGTGGAGGTATCTCATTGTGTGCAAACCAACATTACCAAGACCCTGAATCATTAAAATATATATCAGCACATCGTAAGATATACACAAACTTTGAAATAATTACAAACCCTTAAAAATCAACTAATCTTGTAATATACACAAACATTGAAGTAATTACAAACCCTTAAAAAAACCTTTAATATATTTACAAATTTTATGGTATTGGCAAATCTTATAACATCAACAAACTCCAAAATCAATTAACCTTAAAATATGAGCAACCCCCTAAGACGTTGAGTGTGTTGACTGAAAGATTTACATAAATTCCAACGATTTACATAACGTAACAAATGAACTTAAAATTAATCTCAATCTGGTGACATACCTGGACAATGAAGGTTTTATCCCCAAAACCAGGAGTAAGGCCAACCATACTCATATAGCTTGCTTCATTCACAAAGTTCTGGATGCCATGGTAAACACCCTGTAAAATAGTATCAATACAAAAGTCACAAAAATAGCTGATTCAAGAACCAAAGATATTCACTGCAGTGCTATATCATAAAACACTTATGACGGCCTTAACCCAATAGATCATCAACAGGTTAGTTTTACAGCCAAGGGACACAAATTTCAGATACAGACATCACAGTCAAATTTTAAAGGTACGAATTTAGTAGTACACTGACCATTATTCAGATATCCAAACAATGCACAATTCCTATTGAAAGTGCAAGGAAATCTCATACTTGATTTAAAAAAAAAATCAAAAAAAATCACCAAAACTTGTAAAGAAATAGAGAAATAGAGTGTTGAATTACTGAGAGATTACAGAAAAGGTTGAAACAGAATTAAGGTACACTATATTTTCACCTAGCCTATCAAATGACAAAGACATACAATACTAATCAGGCCTTGGGCTGGCAAACTACAATCTTTCCAAGTACAAGTTTATGCTTGAAACTTTATCACTACTAAAAAAGAGACTTACCCTGCCTGTGGCAGAGATACGACCATGAATGCCACCTTGTGTGATGGGTTTACCAGTGATGCAGGCATGGGCATTGATATCATTGTATCCTAAAATCAAACAATAAAATCATGTTAAGAGTTATTACAAATAAAACAAAGAAATGACAATCAAAATAATAACATTGATACATTGAAACGGCATTTAAACAACTTATGTATTGTATACCATAATTTTATATCAGTTAAGTTTGATCATTTGATATAAATACACATAGCAAAAACAACATTTGTGAGTAATCTTATTTGAAGTGATTTGAAATTTAGACTCTTTTGTCATAAGCAAACTTTGATAACACATTTGAGTGTGTGCTCTAAAATGGCTATTGGAGAAGTTTATACATGTGTATGTCTATTGTGAACTAAAATGAAAAAGCCAACAAAATGTGTTGTGAAGGTACCTCTTGTGAAGGTTTACATTGGTATACAGACCTATTGTGTAGGAGTACACTGGTATACGGACCTATTGTGTAGGAGTACACTGGCATACAGACCTACTGTTTAGGTGTACCCTGGTATACAGATCTATTGTGTAGGAGTACACTGGTATACAGACCTATTGTGTAGGAGTACAGTGGTATACAGACCTATTGTGTAGGAGTACACTGGCATACAGACCTACTGTGTAGGAATACACTGGTATACAGACCTATTGTGTAGGAGTACAGTGGTATACAGATCTATTGTGTAGGAGTACACTGGTATACAGACCTATTGTGTAGGAGTACACTGGTATACAGATATATTGTGTAGGAGTACACTGGTATACAGACCTATTGTGTAGGAGTACACTGGTATATAGATCTACTGTGTAGGATACACTGGTATACAGACCTATTGTGTAGGAGTACACTGGTATACAGACCTATTGTGTAGGAGTACACTGGTATACAGACCTATTGTGTAGGAGTACACTGGTATACAGACCTATTGTGTTAGCATATGTGTCCGCTATCCAGCTCATCTCCCTCTCTCCTGTACCCATGTCAGGGGCTGGCACATCAATACCTGGTCCTACAAGGAATAAATTTAACTTACATTACCTTTTTGTAATTTCCCATGTTTACATGATATTTGTGAAAATGTCTATGTTTATCAATGCTGATACTGACATACTTAATTTCTTGTTAGCATTTTTATACTTTTTTATTCATAAATAAGCAGTCATTGGTAGTTTTTTTATCCTTCAAAAATGTAAGAGATTGTTAATTTCTATTAATGAATTCTGCTTTAGAGAGCCCATCATACAATCCAGATATCTTGTTTGATATTACTGATCTTAATTAAGAAAAATCCCTCCAGCTAAATCTAGTCAGGAAAAATGACCTTGACAATAGGTCAGTCACTTGTTTTTTGGAAAATTATTATCATTTCACCTTAAACAGAACAATCGTTTCAAAACAAATGAGGTATTGAACTTTTATCGCCTATTCAAGCCAACTTCTCTACTAAAATATCACTGCTCCAAAACTTAGAACTTGATATCTGGTGATCTGATTAGCTATGAAGACTGCAGTTTTCAGTTCAGAATTAATCATAGATTGTAACCTATGAATCCTTTCTTTGCTAGTTCCACTGCCAGACGACGTGTGATCTTTTCCAGTTCCCTTTCTGAGTAGTTTGTGGGGTTGATCTTCACACCAGCCTTGGCCCCTCCAAATGGCACATCCACTACTGCACATTTGTAAGTCATGAGGGATGCAAGAGCACGCACTTCATCCACATCGACAATAGGACTGTAACGGATACCTGTAACAAAGATATCAGAAAATCTTTTAATTGAAATTACCTTAATTCATTATGTACATTTGGGCTGATTATTATAAATGTACTTACTTTTTTTACTCATTATCATTTTTTGGCAAATAAGCCCAGTGTTAAATTCAAGCATAATTAATAACTGTGATATATATAATTTATCCAAAAGTGATAGTCAGAGCAATCATATTTCAGGGTCAAAAGCAACTAACTAAGATGACTTTAAAATATGCACATTCATGATATTTAGAACTTTTCTACAGCATTACATACTCATCTTTCAATCTATACAGACCTTTAGAAATAGACTGAAATACCTTGTAATTAACATGTAACCTATCACCTAATTAATCATGATATCATTAAGTCTTGAAAGCGAGGGATATGTTCTGGGAAAGATGTATACAGTCAATATTGAAATGGGACAAGATGTGTCAAACTATCTTCTCATTTATCTTAATTTTTCTGAGTAATTTTAATTAAAGGAGTGTATATGGTATAAATTGTAGCACAATTTGAAATAATCACTTTGTCTGCAGTTTAAAATAGAGACTAAGAATCATATACATGTATATGTTAATATTTTGATAAAAGGCATTCATACTTTATTCCACCACTGTTACTGATATTTTTTATGTCCATTATCTTTCACTGTTGATGTTTTTGAGTAAGAGTTAGGACCATTTGAAAATAAAATGAAATTTTTGTAATAAAATTTTTATGGAATATCTATAGATATGAGGGCTACTTAAAAAATTTGAAAATTTGCCAATGTTTCATGCTATTTTTTACTGACAGCACAATTATTTGAAATATATTATATGATATGATAATAATAACAAGTGTATCACTGAGAAATTGGTAATTTTGCCTATCAGTTTCAAGTCTGTTTCCAAGGCAACACGAAATATCATAAAAAATTATAACACCTTCATAGCGAAAAGCACTACCACAATGCTAGTTTAATAGTTGAATAGAGTTTCAAATTTCGTTACAATATTGTGTCAATGATACACATGATGTTAATGTTCCATCAAATCCATCAATTTAGGGACATCATAATAAACTGTACTGTAATTGAAACATTCTCTCTAACTTATCAATGTACTAAACCCTCTATCACTTATACATAAATACAACATTTCCCCAAATACCGGATCTCATAAGATCAAATAGAAAGAACTATCATGTTAACAATGTGAAGTGATATGTACCTAGTTATACTTCATTTTGTGACATATCAATACTTTATGCATGGGACTGATCTCTGATACACATACTTTAGCTGGGCATTTCTCCCTTTAGCTGGGCATTTCTCCTAAACAGGAACTGATGACATGACAAAATAAAGAGTCTTACTATTTCATAAGGCAAGGTGAATACTAGATGCAATATATCACTTGAGAGAACTTCCCTTTAGCTCAATCTAGTATTTTACCAGGATTACATATCCAGGAAACAACTCATCCCTGAGTTTCCAGGGATTATAGTGATGCTTGTGAAAGTTACATTCAGTATTATTAATGAGTCCCATCATTGACAACAATGTAACCAGTCATTATTTATTTCAATACCTCCACTAGGATTCGAACCTTGGACCCCTGCCTTACTAGTGTGTCCCTCAACTGATTGAGTTCTCTCTAGTCATGCTGTATATTGTGGCTTGTATTTACCAAGGTTACAAACTTCCCCATCAGAAAATTACTCGTCCTTGAGTTTCCAGAGATGCTTTTGAAAGCATTGCTAAGTATTATCCCCTAAATGGGCAATAATGTTACAGAGGTCATTATTTTAACGCCTCCACTAGCACTCTAACTCGTAACCGCTGGTTTACTAGACTGACACTCAACCATCAAACTAAAGAAAAGTTCTCTCTTGCCGAGCAGTATTTTGCAGCTAGCATTTTACCAGGGTTACAAAAGTATGCATTGAATTTTCATCTCATCTAATAACACCAGAATCCTTATTTTTTTATTTAAATAAATCATGTTTTACCACATGTGAAATGGTAACTTCTACAGGAATAATTTCATTTATTATTTCATGGTTACTTACAAAATCGATATTGCAACAAAAAACTATCATTAAAAATAAATCTTTAAATTGATAATTTTACATATATGTGTGTTAATTTGAAGTTGACATCACACCCATAATTGGCTACAATTACTCTTGTAAGGATTTAAAGTATACTTCCCATACCTCTCTTCTTTTGATTTTGTAGAGATTCTATCGTTTGGGTTTCAATTTTAATTTCACAGAATTTTATCAGTTTCTAGTCTGCCAAGAAAATTCTGTTGATCTAATAAAATGAAGTTTGAAATTTTAAAAGGCAGTTATCAGGTATCTATTCCATTTTCATAAATCCAATTTAATCTAGTTTAATTTCAATTCAATTAAACTTACTGCTATATAAAGGAACTAAACTTTTTCTGGTATAACAGGTTACTTGATGGATGTTTATTTTTATTCTCTTGGAACATTTTCTTTTGAGGAAGTCTCAAGCTTTGCTAGCTTTGTCTGTAACATGATTTATGTTGATTGCAAACCCCAATTACAGTAAAACAGGGGCGTAAAACTCCACTTGCCTGATGCCCAGGACAGTCAGTTATTTAAAGTGCAAAATATTATAGACAGATAATAATGAATGGTATCCCTGATGCAGAATCAAGGAGGGTGATGAAGAGTTCACTCACAATTGAACATCTGACTTTTTGTTCTATATAAGACAATGGGTCTCTATGCAACAAAGAATATAACAGGCTAGCATAGTGTAGCATAGTATAGTGACACAAGATGGTAAAAAGATTATAGAAAAAAAAGGAAGCACGATGATAAGAAATATTGTAGTTGATTCGAGTATGCTTTGTTTCTCACTAAAGGCAGTCATCTGAATACCTCGCAGCAGGCAAGTACTAACCAGGGACAGAAGCGGACACAGGCTCTCACACATTTATGACCAAGAGTTAATTAATTAATGTGTAGCCAATCATGCAACATGTTTAAAACATTGTTCTTTCCCCTTCAAACTTCTCCATTCTAGGTTATTTTTAGTTTCATTAATTCACAAGCAGGGAGAGCCTCCATTTAAGTTGTTTTCGCTGAGCATTCATCACTTCCAATAATACTCTTGTTCAGGCAGTCTGTAGTCCAATTTTATTATTGTCTTGGTCATGTTCAACTACAATATATACAGTGACCAAGGAAAAATGAAATTGTTGATACCTACTGTAATCAGAACTCCAGACTAATGTGTGTCAAAAGTGATGACAACAGAGGTGGAGATCGTCAAATTGTTAAAAGAAGGAGCTCAGTACACCTTTATTGATGATACTAGAGTAGATTGTAACTGAGGATCTGATGAAAGGCAAACCTGTGTTGATCTTCAGACTAATGTTTAGGAAGTCAAGATCACTGACTAGCCAGTGCTGTTACGGTTCATGTTCACTATCATTTGAAAAGAAATTACACAAATTACTCTGGAAAGCATACATCGTGCCTGCCATGTCTTGTTCAGTGACGTATCCACTAGCTACTACAAGGAGATTCTGTCTCAAAATGAGTGTCTGTTCATGGGGCGACAACCCAGCAAACAAAAGCGTGGCAAGTGACCTGCCCTTGACATTGTTGCCAATATTAAGGTGAACAACTAACTTGCATGCTTTGTTGAAACGACAAGGAGAAACTTCTTATTTGGTATTATGATGAGAAAATCTTAAAATCGTGTTACTACTAACCTCCTTTGCACGGTGTTCGATGCTGACTGTGTTGTGCTCGCCACGCTTCAATGATTTCAAACTCCCCGTTGTCACGACGAATAGGGAAAGTTAATTCAATCATATGATTACATGGTTTGATCATTTTCAGTATACCCCTCACTTTCTCCCTTTTTTCGTCCATTGTTAGTCTTCCCTTCATTGTATCGGCTAATTTATCTTCAACCAAGTCAGATGCTTTGTCGAAAAATTTGTCGACAGTCTGAGAGAATGATAGTTCGTCCAAAACAGCATATTCATTTGAGTATGGTCTACTAACGGTCACTCCAGCGATTCTGCTTGCGCTTCCATTACTTAATCTAGGTAATGTCCTGCAAACCTCGCTAGTCAAACGTCGATACATGATTCCTGTATCGAAAAATTAACAGCCAAAATTTTCTTCCTCGAATGTCCTTGTGACACGGTTCTGCTCACCTTATAACAGTCGGTTGTAACAACGCTTTTCATTGGTCAAGTGAAATGGATATGTGGAAGGTGTGTCGTCTATGAACCAATCAAATAGTGCGCATTTCTACATCCTGACTCGCCCACTCCTTGAGTCCATGTGATTACTTTGACGTAGGTTAATAAAATATGTTCTCATCCATCTTGTAAGATTCCCGTTGAAACAGCTATTTTTTTCGATCGGTGTAAGGCTTATATGCCTACTAAAACAGTATACTTTTTTCAAATAATTAGAAATCCATTCGAAAGTGGATGACACCAAGCTTTCATTTAAAAATATTGAAACACTGCATTACAATAGTAGCCTCACTCTCTCTCTCTCTCTAAAACCTCTTTCAATGTTTAGATGTTGTTACTAAAATAACCTAGAGTGTTATCATCGGCATAAGTATAAAGTGTTGTTAAATCTTTTATTTATAAAAGAAAAAAGTTAAAGGGACATGAGAATCGCCCGGATCCACCAGGTGCCCCTTTACAGGATTCTTTCAAATATTTTGGAGATACTACAATAAGTATGTTGACTGTACAATATACCTTCTACAGGTCTGTGGTTTTCTTCTTTTGAAGTTTCGATAAAACCTTGGTGATACAAAAAGAGGGGAAAAAACTAACAGGAGAAAGAATATGGTTCTCGATATTAATGACTCTCTCATAATCATCAGAATTCACCTTTTTATCTTTTGACCAATGTTGTCAGTCACAGTGCTAAAGTGAGAGTTCCTATCGATCAGTCAATACGGTTATTATCACGCACTGATCTTTTAGATAAAATGGTTTGATAGAGGCCATCAGTCTTTTGATTTAGGACCGTCTCTACACACGACTCTCTTTAATTCGTTGATTACATTTCTCTGTTTCTTATAGTGTCTCCAAGTTTCTGTAGTTCTATGTTTACAGTATTTCAAAACGCAATAAAGCGAAATTTAAGCATTCTATTTCCGCTTTTTCGCGTATTTCTTACAGCATGAATAAGTGAAAAAGCGAATAAGTGCGGACGAAAATGCGAAAAAGCGACATAGCTGATACTTCGCTTTTTGCGTTTCATTTCGGCGCTTTTTCGCTGTTTTGCGTTTTGAACTGCGAAAAAGCGAAAATGGCACTAATCAAACACCATACTTGGGACATATGGCAAAAATGGAGGTTGCATGGCGGCACCTTGTGGATAAGATGAGAAGACAAACTTGATCCTTTTATGCACATCAAACATTGCATGGCTTTGAAGTTGGTTGTCGCGCCTTTGTAATATTCAAAGGAACGTTTCAATCTGTGACTGATCAGTTCATGTTCAGATATGATATAATAACGTTCTATTTATACAGTTGGCTTGCCTCCTTTAGCTCTGTAAATATATTCACGCAATGAGGCTGTTGTTTCCGTTTTAGTCCGATCTTTCCTTCTCTGGAGTGTGTTGTGAAATTACTTATAACGCCAGGAAGATGAAATCGTGAAAATGAACGAACTTTAATGACTTTTAGTTATATGGGAATTCAAATTTGTTACAAAAGAACGAAATTCACCAACCACGTCCATCGAACATACTCATCAGAATTTTGAAAATAAGGGAAATGACAGAAGCTAATTGCATCCATCTTTAACTATTTATATCCCAACAACTGAAAGGGAACGCTGCCCACCAAGCTGCATGATGAGCGGTATGGTTCGATTTCTCTAGTTTAAATTTCCCGGAGTGTCGCGCATTTGATTCAATATCCAAGATCTTATTCTCAATAACATGATTTTCGTGAAAAAAGTCGACAACTGACGGATAAACTCACAAAACTGGGTTTCGACGGATAAACATTGCGAAGTCAAACTTACAATTGTCACCATTTTGTACTTTGAAAATAACCAAATACATTTCCTGGTGTTATATGGAATTAGATGTGTTCCATGAATGAGATTATGACTGGTGATTTCGTTGAGTACATTACCAAACAATCAAAAATACTTGGATTGGTAAATATTTAACGATACATAGCAGCTATTTTCATGAAACAAAAGAAACTCGTCCTTCCGAAACCCCTGGTCTCATTCTCATTGTACTGCATAGAGAATCCCCAATGTGATAAAACTTCCTTACGCTCATATTTTGCCATCATTTAATCGATTTTCAATTTTAATTAAGATTTTGCTCTTTTTAACATGTCGGTATTTATTATTATCATTAATTCTTTTTCTAGAAATAACAATAGAAGAATTTGACCTACGTAACCGTTGATTTTGTAGGTCAAATTGTTTGACCCTTAACGGGTTGATTATGATTTATGTAACTACTTGTAACGTTGAAAAAGACGACATATTTCTGATTATCTCCGGAAATTTTTACTGTGAATTTTTCACCATCATTTCATCATTCATGACCGTGTAGTCACCGAAATATCACACTCTAATCTGCTACTGGTTGTGTTATAAAAACTCTTATTCTATTGACATTACCAACATTACGAAAATGTTGTAAAATATTACGTATTTTGTTAAGTTTATCAATTTCTGTACAGTTGGATGACAAATTTAGCTGTGCTAGTTGAAATTAATGTGAAACATTGGCTACACATTTATCGCATATTATACCTGACATAAACTTAAACATAAACTATGTCTTAGTTAGTAAACCAGTTATATTATGCTTACTAGTAAATGTATTTAAGATACATCGGAATGTTTGATATCAAGGATTAATAGATCATGTTAATCATAGTTGTTGGGACAGGAGAATTTTAAACAATAGTGTAGACTAGAACCACGGCTCAACAAATACTACATTATACTTATTACTTCGAACAAGCGTGCTCAAAAATCCCCAGGTCGAGTGCACCTTCTTAGGATCTCAATGAGAGTAGAAGAATTCGCAAAACTGCAACTCACGAGACTTGCTGAATGCTTAGCAACTTGGAATCATTCTTAGAAGTGTGAGATCCCACGTCTTGGGTGAGTGGAAAGAGTAATTCATGTTATCGTTGAAGTAAAGCTGATCCGTTGTTGGCTCAAGGTCCTCTGTATCATAATGGGAATTTCCAGACCCTACATAAGGATAAGAATATCTACCGGGAAAAATTAGTAAAACTATAAAGACAAGAAGCAGTATTTCGTATTTGTCTGATTGGCACACGTAAGTTTTAATGTCGCATAATTTGAAAAGAAAAGCCAAACAATGAACTGATAAAACGCTTGATTATTTCCTGATATCCGTGACATTATATTCATCTTCAGCAATCACATGATGTTAAATCATCTATTTGCGGTATCCTGCTGTCTTCCAACACGACGGGCGATATTCTGCACTGGAAGTTAAGTTGAACAATTTCCGGGTCTTATGCTATATACACATATCTATTCGTTCATTTGATCGAAAGTTTTCAGTTACAGGACTTTCACCTCCTTGATTGTCTTTCCGCATCGTCTGGAGGAAATGTATCTCATCTCTCTATTGAATATACATTATTTATTCATTTACATAAATATACATAAACAGCATCCGTAGTCGTTTTTATTCATAAGTAGAACAGTTTTCTAAATACGTTTTTCTTTACACATGTAATAAATCAGATGTACATAGAAATAACAAAAAATATCTACATATTTACAAAATCTTAATTCAAACTCAACATCGATATAACGAAGGATAAATAGAAACAACGGAAATAGAATGTCAGCATCAGACTGCACGAGGAGATTATTAACAAGGTTCCTGTCGTAGGACTGCTTACTCTCTATACATCAGGCGACTACATGTTTTCTCCATTGCCTCCTACTCGCCCTACAATATTCAACGTCAATCCAGTCTCCTTTATTGCTGTCTCTACAGTTCCCCATGCTTCCTTCAGTTTACCAGGTTATCTCTTTCTATGTGGTGCCCACTTTATCCAATACCACATTGTATCTTTCTCCAGACTCAGCACATGTCTCAGATATCGCCACCTTCTGTGCTTTATCTTCAGATTGATGTCTCCTATCCCTGTCCTCGCGGCTAAATATGACCTTCCGATCCTGCCATCCACTCCAAGAACCCTACTCAAACATCTTCTTTTAAACCCTCCCAGCTTGCTCTGTCACCTTGTTGTTTTTCCATTTTCCACTATGTAGATGTAGAGCAGCATAGATCATGCATTCTTGTATAACTTAAGCTTTGTCTTTCTTGAGGGTTTCCTTGATTCCAAGTTGTTACTCGGTATCTTAAATGCTGTCGACGCTTTATCTGTTCCAATGTTGACCCCCATCACTTCATAAAATATGAACGAAAGAAAGTACAAGAATGATAAGACCAGGTATTCCGGAAGAATAAGTAAATGTCTTCCGATTCATCGATAATCAAAAAGTGAACCAGAGATCTTCCATATACACATTATGATTAGTTTAGATATTTGATAAGACTACAGAGTCATGGAAAATATTTATCTTGGTATCTAAATGGCCTAGTGCCTTTGTGGAGACTGGAGATACGAGAACTACATGTATGTAAACATTGCGCAAAGTGATTATCGATGTGACTATGATTTCACTTTATAATTATTTTTTTATTCTTTTTCTCTGATCACTTTGAATCATCTGTAAGTGGCACATGATGGCAAGTTTATAGCCCTGATGTCATTTGTATATACTTAGACTCAGAAAGATCACGTGATACGTTATCTTGATATATTTCAAAACTTTATGTCATTGTAAAAGAATTACCTTACGACAAAAAAACTTTTGGAACAAATCTACCTTATCTCTGTGAACTGAACACATGTTTTTTACAGTGGCTTTCGTTTAAAGACCCGGATAGTGAATAATTCATTCAGTTATTTTCAGGTGAAACGGACACTTTTTCTCCACAATGCTGGTGTTAGTTCTGCTGTGTTGCGTTCCTTTAGCCCTAGCTGAACCTTTAACGGCAGGATGCTGCTTCCCCAGACAGTGGACAGCGGTAGTAATGGAGAACGGAGGGAAAATACTGCCAACAGGTGGACGGGAAATTGATGTAGG